ATGACTGAAACATACGATAAACCATGCATTCACAGCAGCAGAGTTAAACCTGGCTGAACAGTCTTGTTCTGCAGAAAGTGTTCTGAGAAGCTACAAACACTTGAGAGGCATTTCCTTGCCCGCCTTTGAGAAGATCAAGCCCATGATCCTCATTGGGTCAGACAATCCACATTTAATCACCAAAACGTTGCCAGTGAGAATTGGCCCCGTTGGTGGTCCTTTTGCAGTATGCACTGGGATGGGCAGTGCAGGAACCAGCCAGCTTCCTCCAACAGTCTTCTAATGGCAGCAGCTGTCTCCATCTGTCAGTTCTGTCCCCTGCAGAAGAGCTACATCAACATGTAGAGAGACTCTGGCAACTAGATATGCTGCCATTTCACTCCACAAAAGAGGCCACTCGCTCTGGAGAAGACAGAGTTGCCCTAGAACAACTAGAGCAAAGAAGCTTTAGGGTCACAGTAGATCGTGTGAGCCGGTATGCTGTTCCTCTCCTGTGTAAGAAACATGCACCTCCCCTACTCGCCTCACCTAACGCAGTAATGCCTCTCCTCAGAGCCACTGAGCGTCGCCTCACCCACAATCCCGAGCAACTGTTAATCTACAATGAGGAAATCAACAAACTAATCAAAGCAGGTTATGCAGTTAGAATCAATGCAGAACAAATGAGCAGCTCAAAGGAGTCATGGTTCCTGCCACACCATCTTGTCTTTCACAACAACAAACCTAGAGTTGTATTCAACTGCTCATTTGTTTACCAGAAGGCCTGCCTCAACACTAATCTCCTGCCTGGCCCTACTCTAGGGTCCCCACTTCTTGCTGTGCTCCTAAGATTCAGAGAACATGCTGTAGCTATCAGTGGTGACATCCGAGGTATGTTTCATCAGGTGCGTCTCCTCCCTGAAGACCAACCACTGCTCCGTTTCCTGTGGGCGGATGGTGAGAGAGAGCGCAACCCAGATGTCTATGAGTGGCGTGTGTTGCCATTCGGCACGACCTGCAGTCCATGTTGTGCAATATATGCAGTGCAGCATCATGTCCAGGACCATAGTGAAGGCAATGAAGATGTAGTCAACTCTGTGCTGCAAGCGTTCTACATGGACAACTGTCTCCAGTCACTCCCCCAAAGCAGAGCAGGCAAAACAGCTCATTGACAGACTAGAGCACTCCTCGCTAGTGAAGGCTTTGACATGCGCCAGTGGTCCTGTAACATACCGGATGTCATCTGTCACCTGCCTGCTGAAGCAAAGTCAGCAAGCTGTAAGTTGTGGCTGTCTGTACACAAGGAAGATCCCCTAGAGTCCACTCTGGGACTGCTGTGGAACTGCAGCACTGACACACTGAGCTATCCCACCTGCCCAGCCCACACTGAGGTACGGGTGGCAAGTGCTTTCAAGCCAATATGATCCACTCGGCTTCCTCATTCCACACACAACGCGTGCTAAGGTGCTGGTCCAAGCCCTGTGGAAGAAAGGCCGGGACTGGGATGAGCCGATCACAGATGAGCTCCTCCCTCTATGGCAGGCGTGGGAGAGTGAACTATCACAACAGCAGCAGGTTTCATTACCCAGATGCTACACTTTGAACATCTCAGAGAGAGCTTATGGTGCAGTTGTTTACATTAGGGCAGAGCACGATGACACAGGAGCAGTGAAGGTATCCTTTGTGTTGGCCCAGTCCCATGTGAAACCAAAGAAACAGCTCTCTATCCCCCACCTAGAGCTTTGTGCTGCTCTGTCTGGTGCACAGTTAGCAAAGGTTCTAAAAACAGAGTTAACACTGCCCCTGAGAGCTACAACGCTGTGGACTGATTCAACCACTGTCCTCCACTGGATCCAGTCAGAGTCACAGCAGTATAAAGTATCCGTGGGGACTCGCATCACGGAGATTCAGGAGCTGGTGGGGGCAGATAACTGGCACTACGTCCCATCCAGTGAGAACGCCGCAGATGACATTACTCGTGGCAAACCTCTCAGTGACTTGTCTAAACCTCGCCGCTGGACCTGTGGGCCTGGGTTCCTCTATCAGCCACAGAGTGAATGGCCAGTCAAACCTACTGCTACATCCACTCAGCCAGAGGAGGTCCGTGATGCAACCTTCTGTGGCAGCATTTCGACTGTGTTCGAGTATTGTATTATGTATTGTTCTATACAGTTTGGTGTGTAATTTTTTTTATCTCTTGTTTCAAATATTTTCGCTATATCCAGCTTAATCTCTTCTTTATAACTTTGCCATTTACCACCCGATCTGCCATTAAACACGCGTTCCGCTAACTACATAACGTCATGAGGTGGTCTCTGGCGCCACCTGTTGGACTTACATTGCAACTCGAAAAATATTGTGCACTTACGGACCAATACCTCTCATTCTTCATATAGTATAATTAATATGTTCGTTTGTATTCTTTTTGTATATTTGTTATTATTGGTGTGTGTACAGTTCTAATTATTTGTATATATTTCTTTTTCTGTTCTAGATAACCACACAATTACAATCATAATCACACAATCATAACCATCAATAAACCCTCCTCTTTCAAACCTCTGGATCCCGCTGCAGACTTTCTGACCGAAGACTTAGGCCAGACTCCCGCAGGCCAGAATACATCATATATCCAATATTTCACAAGCATCGTTGAGGACGAGGGATTCAGGGAGATGCTGCAGACCCTTGAGCCATCATACACAATACCAACCAGGAAGGTACTGTATATGTCAGAAATTGCACTTAACATTAACAGTTAGAATTATTATTATTATTGTTTGAAGAAATGTTTTTTTTCCTGTTTTACAGGCTCTAAAGGAAATGGTAACTAAAAGATATGAAGCAGAAACCCTGAACATAAAGATGGACTTCAGCAAACATGGAGGCCTACTTGGCTGTGACTGGCCACTTTGTTGACACTGAAAATAAAATGTGCACCACTGTGCTGGGAGTTAAATACTTTCCCCAGAGCCACACAGCAGAGAATATTGCTGAGGTAGGTTTATTGAAAATATTCAGTAGGGTATGTGTTGGTGTCATGTAAGGACTTGTTATTTATTTATGTATTTTTTTAGGTCACACAACATCTGATTGACAGCTGGGCCATTGCAGGAAAGGTTGCACGCATTGTGACTGATGCTGGTGCAAATATGATAGCAACAGCGAGACTATTAAAAATTGGGCATAGTCCTTGCATTGCACACACTTAAAATTTGATAGTTAAAACGTCTTGCGATCAAGTGTCAGACCTAACTGATGTCCGAAATAAAACCAAAAAAATTGTCACCTATTTTCGTTCCAGCACTGTCGCCAAGGAAAAGCTGTGTCAAGTGCAACAGCAAATGGAAAGACCACTTTTGAAGCTAATAAATGAAGTTCCAACACTTTGGAACAGCACTTATCAAATGCTGTCAAGAGTAGCAAGCCAAAAAGAGCCTGTTTGGGTGAGTCTGGCATCCTTAAAAACACAGATACCTGCACTTACTGACGAAGAGCACGACATCATTGCAGAAGTCCTGGTTGTGCTTGCCCCTTTTAATTCTGCTACTGTGGAGCTTTCAGAGGAGAAGCGAGTGAGTGGAAGCAAAACAATACCAATGATGAAAATGCTTCACCATACAATGCAAAAATGTGCCCCATCTTTGCAGACATCGGTTGGAAAAAAACTGTGTCAGGAACTGGACAAAAGAGTCTGGAAACCTTAAACACTTATGAATCTTCTGGCCATCTCTCTCTGGCAACCTTTTTGGACCCACGATACTTGTTTTTTTAAATGGGAACAAGATAAATGATTTGTTGATATTTAGGATTTACATTTTATGCAAATCATGTCATGTTTTGTAGACAACCTGTGTCAACTAGACATGGAGGTGTCTCAGAGCAGAAGAAACACAAGTTTTATGGCTGATGCTATAATAGAAGTTCAAAGATACCTGTCAGCAGCAAACATTCCCAGAACTGAAGACCTACTGGAATATCGAAATTCTCAAAAAAAAGACCTAACCACACTTATTCAAACTGTCCCAAAAATATTTGTGTACTCCTGCCTCATCAGTTCCTTGTGAATGAATTTTCTCTAAAGCTGGAGAAATTGTTTCCAAGAGGAGAAATCGTTTGAGCCCAAACATGCTTCAAAAACATATTTTTCTTAATAAAAATGTTTGAAATCCACCCCCCACCCCCCACAAAAAGGAAAAAAAAGACAAGCACTCAAATGTTACAAGCACATTGTGTATATTATGTTCACAAGCACTCATGACACACACAATTAATCATCACAAGAATATTCACTCTAATGTCACATAGAGATTATTGAACATAGGCCCAATTGTTATGTTCACATGGAAAAAGTAATATCTTGCACTTAGTTATGCAAACTCATTAAAATGTGTTTCTTTTGTAGTATAGCTGCAGTACATTTTTTAAACCACTAGATGAAACCCATACACTTACCAACACAGCGTGATACAGTGTCGACACGCAAGGGTAAGTGTGATACACACACTGAGGTATCATCTGCCCATCACTACTGCAAACATTTCTTATTTTACTATATTCTACTTTTGTCTGGTATTCATTTTAACAATGCAGTCCACCATTGTGGAACAAGTAAAGTTTTACCCCAATGATATTGTTTGCATTGGTATCATACTACTATATATACTAATGGATACTATTCAATACTAGGAATATTATATAATTTACATGAGTCAAAAATAAAGAAGTGGACTAAGCCAGTGTTCAGCTCCACTCAAATGAAGATTGTGATTCTATAGCTGTTACAGAGGCAAATTTGCAGCCAGGCTCTACGTTTTTGATTTTCGGCAAAATAGCAAAAAAATAATAAAAAATAAAAAACACGTTATCACGTAGAGCATGTTAATACAAAAATTTTAAGACCAGGACTGTTTCTAAGATCAAAATGACGAGGCTCACAGCAGCAGTTACAGAGAGGTGTGCAACAACATTCTACGGTCCTCGAAAGATTGTAGACATGAATAAGAAAAAATCTTTGATCATTAAGAGTCACATGTTTATTTTATTAAAAGATAACAGAACAAAATGTAGTTTATATACTCTATTTCTGAAATAATTCATTTCTTGAATACACATATTTACAAATATTATAGTAATTTTGATATATCTGTAAAATTAAAGTCTCAATCCCAAAAATTAAGTTACAAACCAAACACAAAAGAATGGAAAAAATAGGTCCCTCATACAATGCTGGTTTAAGGCTTCAAAGGGTTAAAAATGCTTAAAACCTTAAGAGGACAAGCAACATATCAGATATGAAACACCTTTTTCCATCAACAACAGTGCAAATTAAGTAGGTCTTCCACTGAACAGGTACCACTATGAGAACATCAGTAAGTCCCTTTAAAACAGTCCTCTTATGCTTATGTTTTGAAGAGAGCAGTTACTCAAACAAGGCCACAGCATTGGGACAGTGCCTCAGCCTTTCAGACTAAATCCTCTGGGGAATGCAGCCCTCCATCTCCAAAACCTCAGGCCATCCATCAAATTTGTTGGTGTCTGCACTGTTCTTTATATGCTGCCAAAGATTATACACAATTAGACATATTGTATATTGTCCCCCATAAAACCCAAAATCATACATAACAGAGACAATAGGCCCTTTTCACAGAGCTGCCAGGCTAGTTCAGATGCTCTCAAAAAACACAAAGCTGCACTTCCCAGTCCATTCATTGTGTATTGGAATTAGCCGTGTCTTGCTAAAATGAATCCATATTTAAATATCAGACAGCAAGTTACAGATGGATAATCACAGACAGAGTGTTAAGACATTTCTGACAATGTAAGATTTTAACCAAAGGAAACTTGTGTTTATAAAAAGTAGGTATTTGTTTCAAAGCTAATGCTAACCAAATATAAATCTCAAAATTGAAGACAATGTAGCTTTATGAAAATGACAAGTCAGTTGTTTTTCTGTGCAAGAACCATCAGAATATAGTGCTATTTTAACATCAGTCATTTTAATTTCAGTTTTTTCAGCATTATAAAAATATTTACATAATAGCAAAGGTCTTGACATGCTGCCTGTGATTATGTATCCATAACTTGCTGTACATTGCTTGGTATTTAAATATAGATTTATCTTAGCAAGACTCAGCTAAATCCTACTACACAATGAATGGAGCAGGAGTGCAGCGCTGCAATTTTTAATAGAACTGGTACTAGTCAGATGGCTCTGTGGGTAGTGCCCACAAAAAGAACTAAACAGGTTCTTCAGGTTTACCAAGGTGCTAGCATGTAAAACTGCATGTGAACTGAACTGTTCTGTTTTGAAATGCTTTCAAGTAATCATCGGTTGATGTATTATTTTGAAAAGGGGGAAGATAACATAAGATTACTCTTCCTTCTGCTCATTTTCATTCATTTTTTGTATGTTCGATGTTGTGACACTGTTGATGTCGTCTTATACTTTATGAATGAAATAAATAAAGAAATTAAATAAAAAAATAAAAGTTCTTACCTGCTCAAATGGGCTTTTGGTTTTGATTCCTTTACCACCCACAAAGACCCAGTTATCTCTGAAACCTAATTGTGAGATTATCGAACTGCCCAGGTCTGCAATGAGTTTTCGTGCTTCATCATTCAGTCTAGAGAAAAATCAAAAATAAGTTAAAAAGGATGATAGATAAGGACGATATTTTTTTTCTTCAAAAAATGTAATTCTTACTTTGTTGCAGGGTCATCAAATGAGGCCATCAGCACCACAGTGCCATCTTCAATCTCCTTCAAGAATTTAATTAAGGGTGCAACATCTAAAGAGAAATAGTGTGAAACAACCTTTCTGAACAATACACTTCAAATAAATAAATCATTACTTAACAACATTCATTCATATCTGCGTGTTGGTGAATAACAAACCGCAACATTCTGCGGCAGGAGTGACAGTGTTTGTAGGACACAATGTGCGTACAGAAGCTACACTTTAGATAAAAGACACAACTGATAAAATATTGCTCTCACCACACTGTCAGTCTTTTAAATTTAAATACTTCAAATTGTTCTAAAAAAAAAAAAAAAAATCACCAAGGTTCTTTACAGTTTCAACTTGGACAGTAAGTAACCATATGAAACACCAAACAGCATCACTTTTGTCATGGTTAATATGAATATGTGATTTACTTATTTGATAGCAACTTATCAAGTAGTAAAAAAAGAATAACATTTACCCCCTCCCCACATGTCGAAGTAAGCAGTCTTCAAAAGTTCCCCTGTTTTTCCTTTAAAGAAATAGAAATAAAATTCATAATAAAAAACTTCTATTCTGTCACCATTGCAAGTATTCACTGTGCAATCATTCTTTTTTTTATATATTTACCGTTCACCAGGGCGATGTTGATTCCTCTCCCTACATTGTTCTTAACACTACTCATCAATCTGAAAAAGTACATAAAAAAAATACTTAACTACACAAAACATTGTGAATGTGCGAGTGCATTTATCAGGAGTTCTCTTGAACTATTACCCTATTACCTCTATAGGGACACCTTTGTCAAACAGGAGATTAATTAGAAGACAGCTAAGCAAACATTTCAGTAACTGTATAGTTATGACACTGTATGAAGCAACAATATATTTCCTTGCGAATGAAGAGAATTAAGTTGCTGTTTTGCTTAGAAAATTATATGGCATAATACCTGAAATTAAACTTATACATGATAAAGTGAATGCCATATAGGGAACATTCCAGGCTAACCATTAGCAGCTGCATGGATATAAACTACAGCTTGCACCTGTATAATATATATATATATATATATATATATATACAAATTAAACTATAAACAAATGTTGTCACTGCTTACATCTTGTCTTCTAGACAGATCCTTGGCCCCACGACACTGGCGGCTCCACTTGCCATCTTAAATGCAAAGTGACCGGTGGGACACTCACGGACCAAGCCACACTTGATCTTAACAGGTTTAATCGCTGCATGCACAAATCAGAATTAGAATAAAATATAATGTTTATCTCACACAACCATTACAACAATAACAAATAGTCTCATATAGACAAAATTAAAATAAACTGATTACATTTAAAATACTCACTGCCTTCATTTGAGGTAGACCTTGCTGTAAAACACAAAACACAGTGTCTGAGTATTATTATAAATTTAATGTAAGGTATTTAGACATTAGTAATAGGTAAATGCTTTATTCACCAAATATGTCATGGAGTTTTAAATCCAAATTAATATCTAACAGCTGAAATGTCAGAAAGATCGCTACGATGAAAACGAACAGTATCGTTGCAAACTTAAAAACGCCTAAAGAGGAAGAGAGGAGAAATTTTAGCAAAATGCAGACATAAACTTGAGTAAACAGTTTACGTAATATAGACTTACCACTTGCTCTGACCATTCTGTCTAAGGTATGTCTTCTGTAATAGCCTGAGGAAATTAAAAATAATACCAATAATAATGCTGTCAAGATTTACAATGGCGAGTTTTACAATGACGATATCACATGTCCCTGGCACACTGGCTGTAGTAAAGTAAAGTTGTACTACAGACACAACAATAACAATAACAATACACAAACTTGTTAAAAGAAAACAAAAAAAACAAAAAACAAAACTGATTTACCCAACGTTAATCGATTTGTGCTACATCATGAAAAAGTACGAGGCTAACTTAGTAGAAGGCTTGAGGATACTTCCTTGTCGTGGTTAGTAAATCGAAGTCACGAACACACGCCTAAATTTGTTATAAAGTGTCCATTTTGTTTGTTTGTTGAAAGCACAATGTGTAAACACAAAAAACATAAATCTTACCGTTTTATTGCCTAGACAGAGGTACGGACTCGGTTCATGAGTGACTCGCCTCAGAGCCCAGAGCTGAATGATGAGCACATAGGGAAGAGGGCTCACTCCGTACACACAAACAGTGTTTCAGGAAAATATTACATACAAACATGTAAATGGGCAAGAACAAAACCAAGAAAAGAAGAATTTCCAACAGAAATCAATTACATAAAAAATTCTCAATGGAGGTTAAAGCAAAAAAAACAAAAAAACAAAAACAAAAAAGCTTTAAAAACTTGACAAGTCTCTCTTTGTGTTTTTTCTTTGCCATGTACATTTTATGTATGTATTTATCTATTTTTGTTGTTCTCATTTAATGTCCCTTCTATTTCTTTATTGTGTTGTTTGTTATAGAAAAAAACAAACAAAAAACAAAACAGAAAGCGAGTATTATCACATAAATGCTTCATTGAGATGGGAGTAGGAGAAAATTACACACACCAAATAGGAAAAAAAAAAAAAAAAACATTTGAAAAACGTATCTATATTTTTGTATATTTTTATATGGATCAGTTTTGAACCAAAATGAGAGGATATGAGCCGATTCATTATTTTTGTACAATTTTATGTCAAGAACAAGCAAAGGATGCACAAAGCATGGTTAATTAAAAAAAAAAAAAAAGAAAGAAAAAAGAAAAAGGTTTACAGGGGCACATACCATGGAAGTATAATAAAATCCATGGCAAATACTAGTACATCGGCGTAGTAAATTACATACAATATCTAAAGTACTTCACAGCTGCAGTACATGAGTAAAGCATCTAACCACTGGCTTCATAGACGATCCTCCACACTTGTTCGGGAAAATGTCTCGGATCTTCCTTTGAGACCTACATCCTGCAGCGCCCTCGCCTGGTGAATACTGTCGAGGTAGGTCCACAGAGAAATGACCATAGAGGTGACAACAGGTGTAGACTTTCATCAGTGGTTAACAGTAATTTTAACTTTTAAGCTCATCACGTTCATATTTACATTTTGCTGTACTGTATTAATTAATGTACACATAGAATTAAACACTCCAATAAATAAAACAAAACATAATATAGATACATATTTACAAGAATTTGGAAATAAGAATTCACATTACATATGGCAACAATGATAAATCATGCTGCATAGCGCCATTCAATCATGGGTCATTCAATAAGATCCTGTCAAAAGAATGTAAGAAATGTAGTGGTAAATATGAACATAGTGGCAAAGATAAAGAGAAGGAAAGCAATAAGTTACTGTACGTACAATGTCTGAGCCTTGGGGACCTGCGTTTCCATTGCTGCTAGTGCTGCTTTCCAGATCTCTTGTTGTAAATGTATCTTCATGCTGAATCTGGAGGTTTGAAAAACGGTATTCCGGTGTCCTGTAGAGGGCAATGCTCAACAATAAACTCAAGCTCAAAAGTCAACCGCTCCTCACATTTCTGTATCTCACCTGGTTTTGTACACCATTCTTCTAACAGTGAAGACAGCAGATGCAATGGCTATCATAACAATAGAAGCAGCACCGACACAGACTAGAATCAAAACTAGCCTCTCCTTCTGAAAAAGACATTTAAATCAGTGGTCATAAAGTATTCAAACCAGTTCAAACCAGGTTACTTCTTACTAACCGGAGTGTCAAAGTGTGAAACTGGAGACATTGGTTTGTCTGGTGGACCAGGACTCGTCTTCACACTGCAGGGTCGGATAATTGTCTCAACTGCATTTTGTGGAGTAAATCCCCCCTCGCACTTGTCACTTGGGACCTTGCGATATCTGTTTATACAGTTACACACAGTTATCTAATGACTTATCTCTTTCAAGTTTTTGTAAATATAGAAGCTAAACTACCCCACTGTCAGCAGCTCATCCTCTTCTCCATTTAGACAAACCTCCAAAGTTTTATTGACAAAATGAGGTTGTCTCAGGCACTCAGACGTATTCACGTGGCGGTAAAAACCATAATCACTGTTAAACAAAATTAAATACATTTTATGAGGGTTAATATTTTACCAGCAAATATAGGCCTGTAGTTTGTCAGTTAGTTTGTATGCCCTCCACATATCTACTAGTACATGTTTGCTTGACATCTCAGTTGTATGCTCCTAATGAAACAACAAATAGTTCTCTCCTCTTAGGCCACCCCCACAAAGTCAATAATCCAAACACGCACAATGAGTAAAATCCTTAGCCTAACTCAAGATCTGAAGATGGATCCAGCGCCTAGTGCTCTTGACAGGTAACCCCATTGTCATTAAAGAATGGATTAAATGCAGAGGAAAAATGTTACTTGGGAACCTTTTACCATAACCTTACTTTTTGGTCAGACAGACTGACAGCACTAGTGAGCTGAAGATCTGGAGACAGTACTTTATGGTCTTGCCTCATGTACCCAGTAGTGATATTGAACCTACTCAATTACAAAACTACAAAAACCTGCAGCCTCTCCCTGTTGCCTCAGTGGTTCCCGTCATTTATGTTAAGACCAGATTGTCACAGTAACCTTCTCAGTTGACCAAATTCGACTGACATTGTGCCGTTAGACTAAGGTATGTTCATTTATTTCTTTGGAAAAGTAGACTTATTTCTTACCATATGAAGTCCTCTCTTGTACATAAACAGGGACTCTGTTTCTTGCTAACTACATATGCTCTTCCGTTTCTGCACAGAGACTGCTTCTTGAGCCTTCTGTAGGTCTCCTTTAGGCCCAGGACACAACCAGCTCTGTCCGTTCCCTCTCCTTGTGTTGCATGAGCCAGCCATAGCTCATAGTCCTGACTTTTACCTGAATAAATACATGGTCAAAATTAGGGTGAGATGCTGATTTTGATGCTTTTAAGTATCTGCCAATACCCCATATTAACTAAATGGGATTTATTTCCTTAAAACAGAATTAATTTATTACAAAATAGATCCAGTGTTCTTATGTAACTGTTATTTATCCTTCAAGTAACTACAGCTTTGCATGAATTTGAGTTCAAGTTCAGATGTTCTAGGTCAACATCAGCCAATAAATAGTCTCATTAAATTATAGGCCCAACCAAATATCGCCTCTACCAATATCCCATCCAGCATATTTTCAGGATCAGAATTGATATTCAATTACCATTATAGGTAGTGTGAAGTCTTATTTAGTTAGTTATAATTATTTAAGGCCTCACAGCTGAAGACTTCCTACCTCTTCATGTATAATAGACACAACACATTTTTAATAGTCAGTAATGTAATTTTACTTATATTAAACTTATACTGATATACTAATATACTATATACTTGATCTTCCTTACACTCTTTTGTAATAAGACTCTCAAAATCAATGGTGACGGCCACCCACATGGGCTGCCCATCCTCCTCAGGCCTGAAACCCCACACACTGACGCTCAGGGCTTTTGTTCCTGGTTCAGATGCAAGACCGGCAAAAAAGAATGCCTGCTCTGTAAAGTTATAGTACTTCCAGCACTGTCCTTCATCAGTGGAAAACCTTAAAAGAAGAAAAGGAATGAGTTATGGCTTTATGACACAGTGTTGCATGTGTAACTAAGCTTGCATGTCAACAGCATTTGTACTTGATAGTTTTGACTTGTTCATTGTGCAGGGCCTCCACTGCCACAATGAGTCCTCCTGAGTCCAGTATGCTGTAGTGATGGGGCCCCTTCAAAGTGCCTCTCCAGGTATAACCCCCATCTGAAGACACAAACACATCTGGACGTTGTGAGGAGGACAGAGAGTCCCCAACAGAACCTAAAGAGATTAAAAAGTAAGATGTTTAAAAGTGCATTAAGCATTAACGGTCTTTGTATGTTACACTGTACCATGAGCGATGATAAGGCCAATAGCACTTGGTTCTGACAGAGCAAGCATAGGAACTAGGCGGTCATCACGGCTATGCTCTCCGTGAATATGAAGATTACACTGAAAAAATACATACAAAATTCAACAAAGGAACAATAAATTAAACACGTCCCAAAATCATTGGTGGAACATAACAAAGTAGATGTAGTAAAGCACTGTACTCAAGTAAAAAACAGGTACCTTCATACTTTTGCTATGGTAAATTTTATCACATGATACTTTTACTTTTACTTGAGTTTTTTTTTTAACTCCAGTATCTGTACTTTTACTTAAGTAACAACACTGAGTACTTCTTCTACCACTCAGTGTTGTTACTTAAGTAACAACACTGAGTACTTCTTCTTCCACTGACCAAAATACAATAATAAGTAATCACATGCATGTGTTTTACTTTTTTCACTTTTTCTCCACAGTTCACATTTTCGGGTTTGCTCAAGGGTCTCCATGTTAATCCTCTGTTAAAGGAAATGACAGATCTTATACGGCCATCTGAAAAGAGAAAGCTTATGTAATGGCACGTCTAGTTGTAAGTACAAATGAAGTTCACTCCATACCTTCATCCAGTCTGTTCGTGAGGTAGGCTCCTCTTAATGAAGTGATGTTGGTGAAGTCACTTTTCCGCTGACCATCAAACAAATGTCTGTCCAGTGATTTGGAATACACAATCCCACGATCGTCTGATGTGTACATAGTTCCAAAATATGTATCTTTGGGAAAAACATATGCTTGTAAGTATAATATGAAATACTTACTTTAGATGAAATAAAGAATTTATATTTTAATTCAAGTAACTTTTCTAGTGTGAAGTCTGCATCTGCTTCCTCTGTGGAGATGTTTTTGAACTGAATGTTTAACACTGTGGTATTACACTTCTCTATTTAGCATTTATGTCACCATGGGTTCATTTATTGCTTCAAAATACCTTGAAAAATAAGCATTCTTTCTATGAGCAGGGTCGCCATTTCACAGATCTGTCCTCAAACTGGGCAAGTTGTATCATCTGCTTGTCTCCAAGGAGATAAATAAATTAAATCCTTACAATTAAAAATGTTGGCAGAGCATTTCCATGAAGACAAGCAGGTGGTGGATCCTCCATCAGAAAAGTTACATAGCGTGTACCTTTGAGAATTCTATTTTTATCAAATAACTATGATCCTAATGGATTGTTCTATAATGCATAATGTCGTGAGCTCTGTACTCCCTGAATGCATAATACTATAATGTGTTTTGTAAAATAAATAAATAAAAAAAGCACCTTTGCATTAGATCCGAACTGTATTTAACAAAGACAGTTGGCCTCATGAAGGACAAGAAGAGCTAAAGACGCTGATGGAAAGTCTAGTTTTGGAGTGTGTTTGTGTGCAGTGTGTGTGTATGTGTATGTGTGCGTGTGTGCGTGCGTGTGTGTGTGTGTGTGTGAGTGTAGGTTACGCCCTGATCTTGAGATATGCTTGTCAGCTTTGACAGTGTAACCTAAATCTCCAGCCAACAAAAGATAAAGCCCCTCTACCCCATATCGCCCTTATTTATATGAGCACAACAAAAGCCCCATCACCTCAACTGTACAAGACTAGCAGGAGCAGCCGCTAGTATCAAATCATCACAATCCTCAGGCAATATTAGAGCAAGTGATAGAAGAGAAAGAGGATGTGCACAAAGATGTATGAAAACATTAAACTGTAATTTTAAAGTCTAAGACCTTGTGAAACTAGTTTGTTTTACACAGCTGAACTTCTGCATTACAGAAAACCTGAGATTCTGGAATCTGGAAGGTTATTTAATAATATCAGATTGGGTTTTTAGAGATTTTGTGATCTGTGTAATAAAATATAAACATGTGAATTAAAATGTAAAAATAAGTCACCTCCAGGGTTGTCCACATGCATAAATATCATGTCTTCATCACCATCGGATTGAGTAGAACTGTAGGCATATTTAATATTAATTCAGTCAAATGAAAAATTGATGATCAGTATATTTTGAGATAAACTATGACTAATCCTGTGAGAGTGTGGAGTGCATTTGTCAGCAAGACAACACAAACGGATGGTGTATGAGGGTGTGGGTGCACAAGTCAGGTGGTTGGCATAGAAAATAAAAAATCAGCATAACTTTGAAATGTTGATGAGGTTTGTTCACAGTTTTTCACCTGCTCAGTGGATGCAGAGGGAAGCAGTGCATGGCTGAAGGTTTCTCCTTGGTCTGATGAGCAATACATTACACGTGGAGATCTCTGAAAGATAATTATTTTTTAAATTAATATATTAATTAGTTGTATCTGTTATTGCCCAACAGACACAACAAATGTAAATGTTGTGTAATTTTGTTTCTGTATCTTACTGAATCCTCCATCACAGAGAAGAAAAGAAAGGCTCCTATGTATCCAAAACTGAAGACATCCTCATGGATTGTGGTAAATGTCTTTCCCAGATCTTGAGTCCTCTTTAGCTGTAAATCTCCCCTTTCCTCTGCATCAACTACAACATAACAATGATATAAATCAACTATGCATTTTATTTACATGCCCAGGCACCCACTTATTACTTTCCAATTACTCACCTGTATCTACTTTACTGCAGCTGAAGAACAGGTTAATGCCGGCCCCCCTAAAGGAAGAAGGAAGTCAACTGAATACAGTATGTGACTTAGTTACTACTGTATTGACATTGATTACAGTTTGTTTGGTAACTTTAAAAAAATTTTGATTCTTGAGCTATTGACTGTAGTTTCTATTTTCCTCACCAGGCAAAAGAATGCACTCCATCATGTACTTTTGTCCACTGGGCACCAAAGTCCAACGAGAGCCACAGTCCGCCCTGAGGTTGTGAAGAACAGAGGAGTGTTTACCTTTCTGAAAGGTGTGTCCTTCACCAGAGAACAAAATCAAACCAAAGTGACACAAAAAAGTCATTCATCCAACACATGACTAGAAAAACACACTCACATCAATGCTGAGAGCAACGAGGTAGTCGTGGTTCAAGAAGTGGTATGTGATTGGCTCAGCCAAGTGAAAGGGCAACTGGATGAAGGCAAAAGTTTCTCCGGCATCTGTGGAGGTAAAGATTATTCCTCCAGGATGGTCCACCACCGGGATATCTGCTGTCAAAATCACCTGTTTATCAGAAAACATATTTATTTATTTCAATAGCAGTGGTTCAGATAATGAATTAAACACAAAAGGAAACTACAGTCTGAAATCTAATCACAGTATTTCCATTACATTATGCTGACAAATTTGAATATACTGGAGGCTTGCCACAAGAGATATAAGAAAAATACATAATGCAACACGCAATGGTGTGTTCATTTCAGTTTTTCAGTTGTTACTGGCTAGTTTACAAAGAAACTGTTACTTACTGAACTTCCTGGTCCAACACTTACTCCAAACTCCTCTCGGATAAATGTGTGATTGATTTGATGGGAGATGTCATGGAAGGACTTTCCATAATCAGTGCTAGTAGCAAAATAAAAGGAGACCTAAGTACATGTTTAAACTACAAATGATTGTCCGATTAGTCTATTTGTCGGCAAATATACCTTCTGTAAAGACGTGAGGAGCCTCCTCCAGTAAAAGAGTCAATAGGGGCGTTAATTGTTGATAGCACCAAGATGACCTGGAATATGAAAAAAAAGACACAATTTCTAAAGTAGAAAATTACAAAATTCTTGTAAAGTAATAAATAAATAAATACATTAATAAATACATTTAAAAAATAAACCTGTTGAAAATGGCAATGAAAGGTTTCTTTAATACTCACTCCTGTGCCATCACCAACCCAGGTCAAGATGACATACGAGCCATCATCACCATTAAAACCTGTCTAAAGAGAATACAGGTAATAGTTAAGTCCATGTTTTGCTTAACTCAAAAAAAAAAAAAAAAAAAAAAAAAAAAAAAGATTATTAAAGGGAAGGCATTTGTAGTATGCTATAGTCTGGATCATAATTTATGTATATTTTTTGGTCATGGTCATCACTGTATGCTGTTTAATAGACTACTTTGAAGACTATGAGACTGAGTTTAAAAAGGCAAGAGTAAAAACTACTGACCAAATAATGAAAAATGTAAAGTTTCTGAGTCAGCTGATCGCAACTTGGACCTTTCTCTCAGATGAATGTGCCAGGTTAAAATTACTAGCTCACCTCATGCGTATTGTCATCCAGGACTTGGTGCTCGGATGGACTGAGTGGCAGCCGACAAGGGGTGAACGAGGGTCCTTGCGCGGGCTTGGCAGTGCCGCTGCCGTCTCTTCTAGGACGTGCGCGTGCCAGTGCCCTGCGGAAAGCCACGGTGCTCTCTGGGACACTTCTACTGACCCCAGCTGCTACAAAAAGACAGCAGACACCCCAGAAGACCACGAGTCTCCAGATCATATCCGATAATTGGGTGACCCCTGTTAAAGACTGGAAGGGCAAGTGAATGTGATGCTTGTCCGAGAGTGAAGTGAGAGAGAAACCTGAAGCTGAGGGAGTGGGAAGTGCCCGAACAGGTCATTAACATGAAAAGTGCTGCGCCAAGTGCTCTGCGCCTTCAACAGGTGCATGCCTCGGACCATGATCTCTGTCTCCGTATACAGAATGTCATCTGTGAACACCATAACACATCCAATGGGCTTATTCAAACTGCAACTACAACGACAAATGAAAGACTATTACGCGTCCAATTTTTGGACCACGGGTGTGCCCATCTCTTCTCTACAGGGCGCAACTTCGGTTTTTAAATGGCCTTTTCACGGATCTGAGGGCATAGAATTATGGAAGGATTAGAACCAGTGCCTGCTGGCCAATAAAGGGCGCAAGTGCGCCGCCCGCACTCTCTAACATGACCTATACAAAATTTATGAAGTCGTTAGGCTATTTCATATTTTGTTTAAAAATGAACGTGTATCTGCACAGACTATTATTATAATTTTCATATCATGTTAAATGTGGTCATATCACTTTTGATTCATGTGTTTGCCCTTTGAGTGCGCTGGGCTGGGACCATGGATCTGTAACAGTCAGAACCATATAGATGTCAGGACCATGGAGGGACTATGTCTCTCGGCTGGCCTGGGAACGCCTCGGGGTCCCCCCGGAGGAGCTGGAGGAAGTGTCTGGGATGAAGGAAATCTGGGAGTCCCTGCTTAGACTGCTGCCCCCGCGACCCGGCCCCGGATAAGCGGAAGAAAATGGATGGATGGATGGATGGATGGAGAACCAGATCCGTGGTCGGAAACACTATGGTCAGAGAGAACTCAATAGCTGTTTTCAGGCCTGTGTTCTGGTGTCGGTTCTCTGTGGGATCATGTCAAGATGTGATTTGTTTACACTGGTGTTCACATTTTTGCGCCACCCTCAGGCCGCATCAGACACATGCACGCCAAAATGTTTTATCATTTGTATCTGACGTTTCAGTTGCAGATTCCACTAGAACAATGCCGACTCTAATCACACTTGTGTCTGGCATGACTGCAATAATACATGGCTTCAGAAAAAAGGAAATGAATGCTTGCAATTGTATCTGTCATGCGCGTTACAGTCACATTGGAGACATGTTAACATGTTAAAGCAAATTGTACAATTTAGCGCTGTTTTTAAAAGCGCAAGTCCGTCCTTTACCATGTGCCTCGTGCGTGCACTACAGCACTAACTGAAGTCTGCAGAACTTGCCTTGTTGGAGCAGCACTGATGCCATGTGCTCGTGTTGGGACCATAGCCTCTTATTGTAGTTCTAGCAGCTCCATGAGTTTGTTTTGTTTTGCCTTTGACTAAAATGACTGTCTGTCTCTGGCATTCATTATTAAACAGGTATACCACCAGCCACCACTGATTGGAATACTATGAAAACAGATTTTTTAATTATTATTATTTAGTACATACATGTTCTATGATTAAATTTAAATTTAGTAACTAGAGAAAAACATTAATCTGTTCAACATCAAAACAGAAGGTCTACATTTTGCTTGTACTATTCACCCAGTGCAATTTTTCTTTCTTTTCATGTTTTATGAGTTTCATCTTTCCATAGTCTATGTGCCACATCTCATAAAGATTAATTTTAAGGAATGCCTGAAATGGTTAAAACCAGAGAGTCAGTGGCACTGATTCAGCATGATTAATTCTCCTTCTGGAGCAGTTCATTTTGTTCCTTAAATTCCTTTAAGTTCAAACTAACCTATGGGAGAAAAATAGTTAAACAAGGTTAAAATGACTATGATCCAGTAAAACAGTTGTTGCCTTGTAAACATAATAACATTTGGAACATGCTATGTACAAGATCTTTTCATGCCTATGACTATAGGTGTTGTGCAATCATCCTGGTGCAAGAAACATGTTTGTACAATAGTCATATTCTGCCATGAAAAAGAAATGGCGCTGTGCTCAGACCTGTCTTTTATGTAACTGTAATAATGAAAGACCATTTCTAGTAATGAAAGTTCTTTCCATTTTCACATTTAATAAATCCAGTAAATATAAACATTGTAGTAAAACAGTTTAAACAAAGTTAGTGCAAGTCATGAAGCTGTCAAGTAGTTGCAATTATCACAAATCTGTTCACATAAGTTCACAAATCTGACAAATCCGAAGATGTGTAACCTAACAGACTACTACCTGCAGTAAATCATGTAGGCTGCAGTGATTTCATACGTAATTAATTTATGGCCTTGTCATAAGAGGTCTGTGGCATAGTGCTCCTGGTTCTGTGTTAGCATCTCTGCTCCGTTCCCATCCGTCTTGATGTAATTCCAGAAAGTAGTACTGATTCCGAGCAAACATTAGTCCACCCACGGAGTCCACAATCACGTAGAGGACAGCCACGACCATCAAAGCTGTGCCAATCAAGTATAGCTTCAATACTGCCACCAGCATGGCTCCTCTGAAGAAGAAAAGAAACACAGGCTGCATCTCAATTCTCTTTCCTTGCTTCCTTCTCCTTGATTCCTCTTCTCCATCCTCCATTTTTCAGTTGTCAATCAAATGTCATATTAAGTGGTGTTCTCCCAAAGAAAACCATGGAAGGAAGAAGTAAACATGAGGGACATCAAACATCAAACTCTATTGGTCTCAGTGAGGAGTTTATATCCTCTCTCCTCTCTGTGTCTCCACTGTGGGCGGGACTTTCTCACCCATTTCCTGCAGAATCGAGGAAAGGACTCAAGGAGAAGGAAGCGAGGAAAGCGAAATGAGATGTGACCACAATATAGACTGATACTTAGGATGTAAAGTGTCTCAGTGATTAGAACACTCATCCACCATCCCGAGGCTTGTTCTATCAATGTATCCTTAGGCAAAACACTTAACTTCAACGTAAGGCAACCACCACATCATTAAAAATTTATGAGTAGGAGACTGGGGCATGTTGTCACACTTTTTTCATTCATACCCGTCTCTGAAACTGAACAAAACAGAATTGTATATCAAATGAAAGAGCAACATCTCAGCTATTTTTTGTCTTTTCACTCTATCTCTGTCTCATACAAACCCAGAGTTATAAGAGTTCAAATACATGGTTGAATGGCTATGACAACATGCCCCATCACAAGGTAAATTCTCACACCCACTGTGGTAAGTTGTCACACACTCATTTTATCAGTGATTTTAAAATCTCAAATTAATTTAAGTTATATTTTTATGAGGATTGTATTTTCTATCTTAACTGTTTATACAAAAACATGTATTCAAGTAATAAAAGCACAATGTGATGGAGGCTAAAGTCCTATTATTTTTTAAAGTTAAGCTATGGGACATGTCATTGTGACAACTTGCCCCAAACCTGGGGTGAACCTTCATCTGATCATTTTTATTGATCATTAAAAATAAAGTTATACTTGTTTTTAAATATTTAAATACACATTTATGTAGCCTCTTATTGTAGTTATAGCAGCTCCATGAATTTGTTTTGTTTTGCTGATGTTGTTGGGACTGGTTGTGAGTGGTGGGTCAGGTTGTGAGCTGTCCTACTGCATAAATATTGCATTGGCTGAGCCTTGTGTTCTGATTGTGATAAACACAGTGCAAGCAACTGATGAAACAGGACAGGTAACTGATGAAACAGAACACAAATGACTTACAGTATATTCATTGAAGATCAGGGATGTGGTGGGAATGGTTCGCAGGGGTACACTGTCCACCCACTTCACCCGACATGAGACATAAAAAAAAAAACAAATATAAAATAGCTACACCTCAAATGTCAAACCAGAGCCATTGGCGAAGGTGAAAACAACCCGCATAGGCTCATGATATCTCCAGTACTGTCCTATAGTGACCTGCGACATGAGGGGACCAGGACTGAACCAGGACCGAACCAGGACCGAACCAGGACTAAAACCAGGACTGAACCAGGAATGAAACAGGACTAAACCAGGACTAAACCAGAACTGATCCAGGACTGAGTCTCCGGACAGGCCCGGAGGTGTGCCCACGTAGATTATTGGGTGACCACGGGCGAAAGGACTGGCGCAGAGTTCCGTGTCCCACGGGGTTAAGTGCAGCCGTCGCCCGATCGCACTTTGTGGACACCTTGCTCCACGGGCTAGGGGTTCTCCCTCTCACTCTCAAGTCCAAGATTAGTCCTGGTTTAGTCCTGGTTCAGTCCTGGTTCAGTCTTGGTTTAGTCCTGGACACGTGTTGTAGCCTACCATTTATGTTCTGTAGGTGATTATGAATGACGTTAATGTTAATAACATGATTCTGCATCATTTTGAGTAGAAATGACCTGGCGCCTGATCAGGTGTCCTCAGGTGTCCTCTCAAAAAGGCTCAAGTGATGTACAAAAACAATGAAGTCGCGATTTATAATAATTATTTGTGTAGCCACGTGGTATTTTCGCAGACAAACACATCATGTCTCTGGCAGGATACTTAAACTAGTTGCATATTTGTTATTTTCGTGATTTCATTTATAGTGCAACCCCTACAAAGCTTTTAAATTAACCTACAGGAGATCCGTGCGTGTTTCTGACAGGAAGGGGCGTAGCACCACAATGGTGACTCTCCATCGTCATGTTGGATCGTCCATCGTATCGGAACAACCCTACTACATGCCCCGGTCTCCCCTCTACAGCATAGTGCTTTGTCAAAAAGCTCATTGCAGAATAGATCAAATTATTACGGCTACACGGTAAAAAATACAATTCATCTCTCATACCACATCTTACATTAGCTCTCACAGAGACAGTCATCTTAACAGAGCACGTGGCGACAGGATGGCAATACGACGCAGGAAGGACCATGCGCTTTCTTTATTTTGCTACTTTACAACGCTGCCATTACTGTACTCGATTGACTGAAGCAAGTTTATGCCACCAATAATTAGCATACATACCACACACGGCGCTGTTATGGTGTCGTCCGACAGTTTCGAGAAGAGAAGTCTCAAACAAACACAGGATCAAGAGCCGCAGTTTTTGGTCAAAATGCGAACTTTCAGTTTGATGTCACATTAGCACTGAATGCAGGAAGTGGACATTTTCCCCGATTATGACTTTTATGTCTCTTCGCTGTGTTTGTGCCTTAGCTGTAGGCTGGGGGAATACGTCACAGTCACGTGCTGTTTGAGGTGGTCTCCACGGTTCATCAGACGTACGGCTTATTGCCATATGCTTCATCCATGGATCCAGTGGCGCCTGCAGCCGTGGTATCTCCCAAGTTACGCATGAAGGGGCCCGCCTGTGATTATTGGCCAAATTGTTCTCTTGTTTACTGACGGCAGGGCTGTAAAACTATTAAAACCTGTTCTTTCTGACACTGGATACACACTCGTTCTAGACGATCGTAATAGACATTTCTCCCCTTCCCACTGTGCACATGACAGCGCCCCGGCGCTCATCTCAGTCTACGTGTTCAGAGCTGTCAGTACGCGTACCTAATAATCAAACATTTTAACTCAGAGTGAGAAATCCGAAACAGCATGAGAAGATGACATACACTTATTCAGTAATCTGATCTGAGTGTTGACTCTATAGGTGCACGGGGACTCTTTCCCGAGCTCCCAGTTTGTGGAGACATCTTTGCAAAATAACTACTAATAGCTCACCAAGTTAGCCAGACAAATGAGCCAGAAGACACGCTTAACTTTTCAGCTAGTGGCCGCAACGCTGCTCTGATTATGCAGGAGTGACAGGAGGCTCCGCCTTTATTAAATTATAACAAGCACAACAATATAGTGCCCAACACACCTAAAGGCAATTGTAACGTGAGCACTGAGCGGTTTGGAAAACTGAATGAATTAGATGGGAGAGAAGGAGGGTGAGAGAAAGAGAGACTTGGACCTCCCAAAACCCCATGCATGCGTCAGGTATAAGTGTGGAGACAGAGTGGAGGGTCTGTCATACACTTGGCCACTCGCCCCAGCATACATCTGTTATGCAGATATTTACAGAATTGTCCTTTGCTATTTCAACTGACGACCTGGTGTATTGTAGGATATAGTAAAGTAGTAACTCTTTATTTTAAAATGTGTAACATAAGAGATGGATTGCATTAACATTAAAGTGGAAACAATATTAACTATTTTTGCGACTAAATTGTGTGTTGGTGTTTTAATTGTATTTTTTATTGTATTTTATTTTTTGACAATTTTAGTGTAAACTAGGCTAATTTGCCGCTGCTCCAGTGACCACCGCAGTTTTAAGTTGGCTATTTGGTTCACGTCTTTCTCAACATCCATATCACGGAGTTGAAAATTTTAGTTTTGAATCAAATAGTTTAAAAGTATTTTTAAATGTCTGTCTCATGAAAAAAAGCCATTAATGAGGACTCTAGAGTTTTAGAAAATGTCGCAATGTTGTCTTTGGGAATGTCCTTAGATGGATCTATAATAAGGTATTATACTACCATGGCGCAGTCATGAGATCGAGAGCAAGCTGCAGCAAATGCGTTGGAAATGGTGGAGTGCAATACTGCGTCAAACCGTTGTGGCGCATATCAAAGATAGACGCATTGGAGAATAATGCCAAATCTTCTAAAGTTGAGACATTAAGATTGACCAGACTAATATTTAATATTTAGTCAAATAAAAAAACATTGAGGTTTAAGGTTTAGATGTAGCTTACAGTACATTCACACTCAGCTGGTCAGCCAAAATAATTTTCTTCTTGTAGGTCTATGTATTCCATACTAAGAAAACACTTCCTCTCTATGGAATACACGGAATGTATCAGATAGCATAACAGGCAACATTCTCATGAATCACAAAAGTAGAGGTCCATAACTGCTTGATCACTAGATGGCAGCATTTCAGTTTTACAAGAATCAAATCATTCTGTAAAAATGACACGGACAATAAAGAAATTCACAAAACAAACTTGTGAATACTACAGTATTGGATTCTGAAATCTTGAAAGGGCCTATTTTCTGATCTCTTACAATATTGTTTCCTCATCAAAAACATACATGGATTTGTGTTTTGTTTCATTCACACACAAACCCTAAATATTTACTCTAAGAGTTCTTCTCAAACTGAAAACACTCTGTTCCACCTTGTGATGTCATACAGTGGTAGTTTTCAAATTAACAACTATACCTTTTACCTTTAGTTCAGTAGAAATAGGCAGTTCCATCGCTGAAATGATCCAAATGATTCTAGTGAAGGTGTATGGACTTTAAAAACACAGTGGACATCACAAGGTGGAACAGAATGTTTTCAGTTTGAGAGAAGAACAGCCATAATATGCTCTTTTTTGTGTCAGACATTGTTTGTGATGAGGAAATAGCATTTTAACATAAATCATGGCATAATAGCATAATAATAGCAATAATATGGGCTCTTTAAACTCCATACACCTTCACTAGAATCATTTCAGCCCTGGAGTGCCAAGCTCTACTGAAACTTGAAGACTACCACTTCATGATCACTTCACAAGATGGAACAGAGCATTTTCTCCTCTGTTGATGTAGATAGCCTAAAAAAAATAAAGGTTTACTGAAAAGTCAATATGTATAGTTAAATTAAGACTTCAATTGGATTACAGTCGTTACATGAAGCTAGGAATGTTTTAAATAAATAGTCAACAATACTTGAAAAGGCTCAAATATTCCATTCTGCATTCATCAAGTCAAGATCTTATATAATGAAAGCTTACACACACTGACATCTTATGACTCTGATTTGTCTCAGCCAGTCATGTAGTGCCCCGGCTGTGCACATGATGTTCATTATAGTAACTGAGTGAATGGGAGAGAGGAGCATGCATGGCATGTGAGTGTGATCTCACTGCGTGTGACAAGACGTCAAGGCTTCAATTTCAAACATTACATGGTTCATCATGGGTGGTACCTTAATGGTTCTTTAACCTTTATGTTACCCACCAAGGCAATTCTTAAGCACAAACATGTAATTATTATGATAATGTTAGAGATTGTAACTCAACATTTCATACATACAAATAAATGAAACTTAGAGTTTCAAAATAAGCTTTCTGTTTCACTGTCATTGTTGGTGAATTCCTGTCTTTGAGATGAGGTCTGTGGAGGTAACTTACTGGTGAAGCCATTCTAAGAGGATTTTCCATCTTAACATCTCCCCAACTGTCACAAACAGTCAGTCACCTGGAGGTGATCCCTGAGAACACAAGACCTATGACAATGTGGGGCAGTAAGGGCAATCCCTCACAAACTTATGATCAAAACATGAAATACCTTTTTCATACAACAGTTTCCACCTCTTGTTTGTGCCAAAATACATGGAAGTTTTTGGGCAGGCACAAGACTATTGATGATTACATAGAAAAAAACAAGTTTTCTCTTCAAATGGTGCCCACAGATTGTAGTGGCTGTCCTGTTTACAGCCTTAAACTCATTCATTCAAATCTGAAATCCTCTTTGAAAGTGCAGCACGGTAGAAAGCTGGATTAACCCATAGACAAAGCTTTATGGAGCACTCATGTTATTCAACTTCCAGAGAAATGCTTGGGGCAGTAATTGCTTTATCTAACATAAGTGCAATGCTCTTTGCCATTGCTATTACTCTCTGGACGTCCCCCATTTGAAAACATGGACTCTATGGCCTCTCAGCACTGACATGTTCTGTCGTTGGAATCATTTCCACGACAACACCCTCTCAGTGGGAGAATCTCCTAGGTGACGCCCTCTGATGACACGCCTAGAGGTGGCTTGTGCCTTTTCAAAGGCAGGTGCATCCTGAGTACGGACAGAAGGAGGAGGCTGGCACACTTTTACTGTTTTTCTTGTCTGTGGCAGTACCCGTGCATATCTGGAGAGGTTGGCTGGATAAGCAAAGACCTTGAAAATAGTGTGGCTTGTGTGTATTATATTTTTTTGGTCTACGCTGCCATTTAAATCAAACCTACTGGTCCAGTGAATGTTATTTTCTCAAATTTGTTTTGGAATATAAGTGATAATTGACACAACAGGAATCAAGAAAGCAGTGAGGAACTGAAGTCCCGGTGATGGAAGAACACGGATATGAGCAGTTTGGAACAAATGGAGCAAGAGCCAGCGCACATATAGATTACACAAGAATTGTAGGTGACACTCAACCTCGCCATATGCTATCTATTGATGGAGAGCATTTTATTCGGCAAACTCTACATGGGCATGGACATGAAAGTGCTGCACGTCGATACAGTGCCAACCGTTACCAGGCTGGTTTAGGCCCAGAGAGGTAAATGTTTCAAATTGTAATTAATTATATATTTTTGATGCTCTGTTCATTATATGGAGTGCTTTGATAATTTGGAGTAACTCCCAGTCTGCAACTAAGGGCAAATGTAAATTTGTGATTTTGTGTGGGATCAGATTTCATGTCCACTCAGATAACTTAGCAAATGGACCACGTTCTGCTTTGCATTCAATGAAAGTGCAAATTTCAGGTAGAACTAAACTCTATTAAATTCCAGTTTTTAACTTTTAGCCATAAAATATTGCTGCATCATTGGAGTGGAAGAGAGGAGCAGGATCAGCACAGACTAGCTCTAGTTTGTAGGCTACATCACCAGAAACTACTGACCCACACCTGAACATTAAATTAGATAGTCCCACATTAAATTAGATAGTCCTGGAAAACATACTCTGGCGTGACTTGGGATAGCAGTACTCAAGTTAGCATGAAAAGTACCAAAGGGCTAAAGTGATCAGTGTCTGTTTAGATTTACTTCACAAATTTAGTCCATTTTTTGACCAACTTTGCAAAACAATGCTTGAAAAGGCCACATGTGGCATATGTGTGCAAACAATTTCTCTGGTGAATTTTATGGTTTCTTTACGGCATAAAGGCACTCAGAATTGGTTGTCTTTAGATTTTAGAGACGGCGCAAAGATCACTCTTTTCTAGTTTCTCAAATAGTGTTAATTACATTGACTGTGGAAGGTTAAAGCATGATAAACCCGCCTCTTGTGGAGGGGATGTGACGCGGCTGCTGCTCGTACATAACACACACCGAGCGCTCAGCACACGGCAAAAATCCTCTCATTCAAGACTGGCGAACAGTACTTTTTACAAGTTGGATCCACGAACGATCAGGTTCACCCCTTGTGCGTTTTTTGAGGTAATTTTAAGATGTCACATATGTAGTTTGATTGAATTTTCCCTTCTTTATACAGGGAAGATGAACACGTCTAGTCAACGTGGGCATCAACTCTCAAATGTAGCTAGCTACAGTTATATGGGAAAGCCCATGGTGACTTTGCACTGGTTTAGAATATAAACGACAGTATATGTGTTAAAACTCACCTGCATTATTCCAAAAGAAAGTGTGCCTTTGGGGATGCACAGCCTTTTGTGTCAAGTTCTTGCGGCGGTGCCGCTAATGCTAAATGCTAACGCATTTGCACATGTTTTCGATGTAAACGCAAGAAATCAGGTTTCCTCTTATTTTTATCTTACTGCTGCTACGGGGCGTGTGTGTACGAGTGAAACCGAAAACAACTATTGGCTAGATTACAAGTGTATTGCAGTTTTAATACGCGAGATTAGTAATTTAAACGTTTTCCATGTGTATTTATAGTCAGATTATGCACAACAGCACGTGAATACAGCGTGCTATGCAATGTTCTAGCCTTGATTGATGCAAGAAATCCGACTGTTTTACACGCTTTTCAAGACGTATCTACAGCATATAAACATATAAAAAAACTGATTTCTCTCATGCCATGATCTGACAGATGTTGGACGCGAGAAGCTAACATACAAAACAGAAAATGTAGGTCAGTCAGCCAGTAACCCTTTGCTATAACAGTAACTAAAAATATAAAATTATAACAGTTGAAATAAATATAGCAAAATCAGCGCTCGTGTTAATGGGTCACTCGGCCACGTCTTTACGCTCTGACGTAATTGCTGTTTTTTTTTTTTTTTTTTTTTTTTTTTTTTGTCTTGTGTGATTTTACTTGATGCTTTTACGTCCTCATGTTTTTTTTTCACATACACTCTGCATTAACTTGAAGGCACATGCATCCCTCACCCTCAGTTGTTTATCTGTATGTTGACAGTGTTTTTATGGGTGTTATGTCACGCATGCGCATTGCCTCTGTCTCAGTGAAGATGTTGATGTTGCTATGCTTGTCTGCTATAAGAAGGTCAAGCGCTGCCTGCAAGTTGATGATTAGACAAGTGCTCCTCAAAACATCCTCTGATCATTTTGGACAGTGGGAGGGTTGCACACTTTGTACTCATGATAAAATAACTTATTTTAATTGTTCAACAGCATGGCCGATTACTTAATCAGTGGTGGGACAGGATATGTTCCTGAAGATGGACTATCCGCACAGCAGCTTTTCTCTATCGGAGATGGTCTCACCTACAAGTAAGTTCTTTTACTTGATACACTGATTTCTTGTTCAATATAATTTATTCCAGTATAAATAATATAATAAATTACTTGTAAGTTAGCCTTTATAAAACAAATTCTCAATTGGTTAGTACAGTTAAACACGAGTACTTTATAATGGCCAACACATTTTGAACCAGCAGATCTGACCAACAGTGTGTTGTCTCCGATGGTCATACGGCTGAAGAGCTATGCTCTAAAGGAGATGGGTTGACTTACAAGTGAGTAAAATGGCTGTCTGCAGAAACAATGCACGGCTAATTGTCTGTTAAAAAATGCATTGTAATGGGAAAGCAAAACATTTTCCCTTTTTAAAATGTTTATTACATTCAGAGAGAGGAGTTATATTCTATTTTGCTCCAAATCTGTGCATGAATGCTAATGGTATAGGGATGATCTTTGGAATAACTTAACTTGATCAGGATCATGGGAATGACATTTGATTCTGTTTGTATGACTCCTTAAAGATGCATTGTGGAACTTTTCTGGTGGAGGGTTCATCAAATGCTTTTCTCCATAGAGATATTATTGCTTTGTCTGGAATGTGTCACACTATGCTATGAAACCATTTCATGCAGACCAAATCAGACCAAATTACAAGTCAGATCTGTGGAGAGGCATCCCTGCTCAGTCAGAATGCCTATTTTGCTAGGTATTTTTGAGCAGTAAAACTACCTGTAATTTAATAAATGTAATAAATGTTTAATGTCGTACTGTGGAACATTACAGGAAAAGCAATGACATATCTATAGAAACAAGCATGTGTCGGACTCCTAATGAAAAAGTTATATAGTGCACCTTTTAATATAACTCAACTAATCTGAATTTAACAAATTTTCAGATTTAGTGTTTTTGTTCTTACATAAAAGCTCACACGTTTTGATTTTAAACTACTACAGCTGAACTTATACTAATTATATTTTGTAGATCTACTAATTGAATTTGTAGATTGTACTAATTTAATAACAAATAGTGACTAATTTTCAAAGAGACTTATTTGTCAACTGTTGGGTTTATTAGCCTCTTTTTTCAGTAGTCATTTTTCCAAAATGATTACTGAAATGTTCAATAAATTAACCTTGAACTAATCATGGCCCAATCTTGTATTTAACAGCCTTTGAACATCCTCACCACATCTTAATGAAATACACCATGACTGAAGTAAGAGTTCAGCACATGATCATTCAATTGACATCAGGTGACCTGAAGACTGGGATTAGTTAATTTGGGATTCACCGTTTGGCATTTGACTAATCTGAAAAATGCAACTGTAATGCTTTAGAATAACTTGGCACTCTTGCTATTATTTATATTTTATACTTGTTAGTACGATACAACTTTATCTTAACTTTTGACATAACATAAATTATTGTTTTATTATGACCTAAATAATGGCAGTTTTTAAAAATAATTGTGCAGCTTTAATAGAGATGGAGGTTCATTTTCACTGTGTTGAGATTTTTTTTGGCCCTTTGCCAATTACTGTAAACTATAACAAAATTAAAACCAATATTTATTTATTTATTTATTTATTTGAGACAGGGACAGTGCACAATTTTTGCATTAACCTTAACAGGAGAGATGCATTGTACATCAGGTTGTAGCACCAGTGCTAATTTCCACCTATAGTCCCTTGACAGATTCATTGATTGACCCTGGCTATCAACTGTTCTTGGAGACCTATGTAGCATGTTTTGGGTTGATGGGGGAAACCGCAGCGCCTGGAGGAAACCCATCCAGACACGGGGAGAAACATGCAAACTCCACACAAAACCACTTGTTGTCAGACTAACCTGACAATGGTGTGTTTTTTTTAGTTAGTAATTTCTGACGTGTTGTTTTAAAAGACTCCTTGATCTCTAGGAACATTTAGCCTTGTTAAAGCACACAGCTAAAACATGTATCACATAAGCACTTCAATTAGGTTTTTAAATTATGACTTAGTTGTGGACTTAGTTTGAATTTGTTTCTCTCTGCAAGCATTTGTCTACATTTAACAGTCAAATGCAGACCATAAGAACCCAGCACACTGGTTTAAATAGCATTGAGTGAGTAGGCGTAGGCTTGTGTGCTTCAGCTGAGGTTTGCGGTTGCTGCTAAATGCTAGCAGATGCTGGACTTTTTGTGTTACAGTATTGATGTTTGTGGGCATTTGGACTATAAAAAGAAACTCTTACATATTCTCCTTCAGTAAATCATCACACCTTCATATTAGGGTTCCCACAGGTCCTGGAAAAACTGAAAAAATATTTAGCACGCATGGAAAATGAGAAGCGGCTTGGAAAAGAAATTCTTCAAAATAATTTCTCAACCCTTTGCCTTCTCTGAATGTGATATAACTGAAGGTTTGATTGTCCATTATACTGAAAATCAGAAATACAATTTCTGTTGTAATCTCACCGCAAGCCTGGATTTAAACTACTTTTAGACAGTCCATTTGATGTGCAAGAAACTATTTTGTTTTATAAAGTAGATCTTGTGTCCCAGTTTTTCAGTCTGTCACCATCATTTTTCAAACTCCCTTTTACAACTATCATATAAATGGTATAATACACTATTTTAAAATGCATAATTTCCTCACCTTCCATCACTTTAAAAAATTTGACATTTTTAATACAGACTACACTTGATTTCTCTTAATCAGAGAAACCATAAACACTGCAAAAAAATGATTGTGGTCAAATAATTACTAAATGTTTTACTACAGTCAGTAATGCTATGTAATTCATTAAATGTCCTACTTTTCTAAGCTACAATGAATGTTTAGTAGCCATATATAATTTAAATAATGATGCTATACTTTGTTTTTCAGTGATTTCCTGATTTTACCTGGCTTTATTGACTTTACCTCAGATGAAGTGGTGAGTAAAACTTGAACCATGAGGAGGTATTTATAATGGGGAAAAAAACATGAGGTGTTGTTGTCTTTCCCAAGTATTTTTAAAATCATATATTTGGTTGGCCTTTCTCCTCGTTTGGAGCTATTTCTGCCTTCCTGTGGTCACCCGCTGACGACTTTCTTAACCAAATGTTTACGTCTGTGTCTGATTCATTGCACCCTTTCCCAGACAGATCGCTCCAGACACTTTTTTTTTTATTAACTCTCTAACTTCTTTTACTAATTTACATTTTAGGTCTACGTATATCTTAGTTTCACAATGGTAATGGGCCCGTGTTATTTAAATGCCAGTTTGACTCCCCGACTTTGCACATGTTTAAATAACGGCACACTAAGTCATTGTGAGCTGTCTCCAATTTGGATTTGACTTCAGTTGCTTTGTTACAACTTTAATTACCGTGTTTCTTGTTCCTACATGCTTTCAATTCACCTCTATTATACAATGTTATGCAGTTTACTGACACACAGCAGGACTGTTGTTGAAAATAGTATGGAGTTGTGATGTCTCAAAGTACTTTCCGAACTCTCAGTTGAATTTAACAGGTGGGTGTGGATTGTACCCAGAATTGACTTGTGGGGCCAGCACTTTGGACTTGGCTTTCACACAACCCTTGACAAAAGCAGTTCCCAAGCTTATAATTTATGTCTGTCTCAGATAAGAAGTCCAGGTTTTGCTATCCTAACACATTTTTTTGAATTCCCTTATCCAAGAATGTCACTATTTACACTGTCCTCCATGAACTGCAAATTGTTTTGAGAACTGTGAGGAACATTTGTAGCAGTTTGGACTGTTTCCCTTGCCTTTTCTCACTCTATCACAAATTAGAATTTTATAAGAAGTAGACCTGTAGTGCTTGTTGACATTTCTCATCCAATGCCATGGATATCACTGAGTGATATCACACTGATTATGTGTTTAAGTGTATTCAATATTTAAGTGTGTTCAAGAAAATGACTTGAGCAAGCATAAAAATAAATACTTGGAAGGGATTGAAATTTTGAGGAATGGGCTGCCACCTGGTGGATGCAAAGTAAAACACTGTATAGTATAAAATGCACTTGACATTTTTTTTTTTCTAGGATCTTACCTCTGCACTGACCAAGAAGATCACATTAAAAACCCCTCTTATCTCTTCACCCATGGACACAGTTACCGAGTCAGCAATGGCTATTGCTATGGCAGTAAGTGTTCAAGTCTCTCCTCATTTTATCATCATATGTGGAGAAAAGTTACTAGAATGTTCTCTATTTTTAAGTTAATGGGTGGTATTGGCATCATTCATCACAACTGTACTCCAGAATTTCAAGCTAATGAAGTCCGAAAAGTAAAGGTATGTAAGTTTTATAATGTGTATCTACATGTTAATAATGAGCTGAATTAAGTTTTCTCCCCTTGTTTTCAGCGGTTTGAGCAGGGATTCATCACAGATCCAGTTGTGATGAGCCCAAAACACACTGTTGGGGATGTGTTTGAGGCCAAAGTTCGACATGGTTTCTCTGGCATTCCAGTCACGGAGACTGGTAAGATGGGCAGCAAACTGATGGGTATTGTCACCTCAAGAGACATCGATTTCCTCACTGAGAAGGAGCACAGCAGGCCTTTGGAAGAGGTGTGTATAAAACCTTATATTTTTATTATATTATGTTTATGGTCTAAATTAAATTTTTTGCAAATTTTGCAGGCCATGACTAAGAGGGATGAATTGGTGGTTGCTCCAGCCGGTGTCACCCTCAAAGAGGCCAATGATATATTGCAACGCAGCAAAAAAGGTTTTTTGTCAAACACAATCTTGGCTCCTTATCTTAAACTGGTATGTCTTTCTACCTCTGATATGTATGAAACTTTCTACAAACAGGCAAGCTTCCCATTGTAAATGACAATGATGAACTGGTGGCCATCATTGCGAGAACTGATCTGAAAAAGAACAGGGACTACCCCCTTGCCTCCAAAGATTCTCGCAAACAGCTGCTGTGTGGCGCTGCCATCGGCACAAGAGAGGATGACAAATACAGACTGGATCTGCTGGTGCAAGCTGGAGTTGATGTTGTTGTTCTGGTAAGTGGCCTTTTGATTAAAAGTAATATCAATATAATAAAAGGAAATGGTAATGTCAGTCTTTTTTTTTTTTTTATATCAACTGATGCTTCACATTATTTTCCCTTAAATACATTTTCTTTGTTTTATTTTAAGGATTCTTCCCAAGGCAACTCTGTCTATCAAATCAACATAATAAATTATATTAAGCAGAAGTATCCAGAACTACAAGTTGTTGGGGGAAATGGTGAGATTTTTAAAAGTAACACCTTTTAGAAGCATTTTAGAAAAGACACGGAGAAGATTATAATTACAACCATTAGTAAGACATGTTAAAATTATGAAAATAAATGATCAACAGCACAATAAAAATATGAATTAAATGACTACAGTTAAATAAACTAATAACAAGCAAACATGTCAGTTAATTTAAATGCAGTTTAAAACAGATGCATTCTTTATAATCATGTTAATTGCAGAACCTTATACATTCTGACTTTCATTTCTCCTTTTGGCTCATAGTGGTGACAGCAGCTCAGGCCAAGAATCTGATTGATGCTGGTGTGGACGCATTGAGAGTCGGCATGGGCTGCGGCTCCATCTGCATTACACAAGAAGGTACTAAGCTTTACGTGGTGCACAATCAATATTTCTATTTCTGAAGTATTACTGAAAAATTGTTATCACAGAAAAATAAATGGTAAAAGTTACCAATTTGCTGTGAATGCTTCAAGCATGTTTTAATCAGTAACTGTGTAGTTTTGAGGTTTATAATATCGGGTAGTAAGACTAACAAATATACAAAGACCTCTGCATGAGATGGTAATATTATTGTCTGGCCTTCTTTTATGATGCCACAGAAAACACCTTTCATGATTTTTTTTTTTTGGGTTGTATAATAATAGTATAATAAGACTGAACTTTGCTTTGTTAAAATGAACTTTTTTTTAGCCCACATGCTGTTGTAAGTGTGTTGTTTTTATGTTGACATTTAAGTCTTGTTTACCTGTTTTGCAGTCATGGCGTGCGGGAGGCCCCAGGGAACATCTGTGTACAAGGTGGCAGAGTACGCTCGGCGCTTTGGTGTGCCGGTTATTGCTGATGGTGGCATTCAGACTGTAGGACATGTGATAAAGGCACTGTCTCTGGGAGCGTCAACTGGTGAGAAGTTCACTACATCTATGACACGTTTGGCTAGATATGGAGATCACATAAAAACTAAACTAATATATAATATATATATATATTTGCTTTTTTTTTAAGTTATGATGGGTTCGTTGCTGGCAGCAACCACTGAGGCCCCAGGGGAGTACTTCTTTTCCGATGGTGTGCGACTAAAAAAATACCGTGGTATGGGCTCTTTGGATGCAATGGAGAAGAATGCAAGCAGCCAAAAACGCTATTTTAGGTTTGTGAGAAGTGTTAGTTAAGCTGTTACTCTTGCCATAAATAAACAATTACACTTGTTTTTTTTCCACAGTGAGGGTGACAAAGTAAAAGTGGCCCAAGGTGTGTCTGGCTCAGTTCAGGACAAAGGATCCATCCACAAGTTTGTCCCTTACCTAATTGCTGGTATCCAGCATGGCTGCCAGGACATTGGGGCTAAAAGTCTCTCAGTTCTTCGGTAAGCATATGGTTTTATGCATGTCAGTATGCATTTGATATGATCACACTTAATCTTTTAGACTTACTGTATTTAAATGTTCCTAGGTCAATGATGTACTCTGGAGAACTTAAGTTTGAAAAGCGAACCATGTCTGCACAAATGGAGGGTGGAGTTCATGGTTTACATTCGTAAGTACTGAAATCATTTTGTTTCCTGATCTGAGTCCTCTGTCATAATCCGCTTTAATTTCCTTTATTTTCCCTTAAACAGTTTTGAGAAGCGACTGTATTGAAGGAGTACAGTTCTTAATGTGCTACTTGCCCAGTTCAAACGTGACCAAAAGTTCTGTACTCACCACCTACTACTCAAGCCTTGGCCTCCCAAACTTCTTATCCAATAGTACGCGCTCTGATCTTGCTGCTTTAAGAGGAAGGGGACATCATCTGGACGTGAGAACCTTAATCTCTTGAACATCATTCTGTTGTTTTTCACTTGCAGCGGTGAATCAGGGTCTTCACAATAACTAACATGTGTCTTGAGTATGCAGCTAATCCCAATTGTCCCGATTACATAGGCTTTGATTGACAGGAGCAAATGTGAATGTATAGTGGTAAAGTCTAAGGTGTCCTCTCTTGTGTTTGCCTTCTGTAGTCCACAACAGTGAGCCTTTCATAGACTCCTTGTTAACAATCAGCATCTCTGTAGAAGCCTTTATACAAAGCTACTCCTAAAATGTGTTTGTTTATGGTGGCCATTGTTTTTTTGTTCTTATTTTGCAAAATAAGTTATTTCTGATTTAAGCCACTTGTTATAAGTCTGTTTATCTTTTATTCCTATTCTTATTGTTTACTTCTTTTCATGTATCCAGAGGTACAAGATACTGGCTTCGACAGTATTATTCAGTTAGTTGGTTCAACACACCCACAGTGTTTAGCCATTCTTGACATATTTTCCTCTTTGTAATGTTTTGAGCCAAATGTACATCCCATATTAAACATTTTTTGTGTTCACCAGAAAGGGAGCTAATGCTCAAAATCAATAATATTTAAAATGACCATGGATGATGCATAAGTTTTGAGACCTTTTTTTTTTTTTTTTTTACCCATTATTTGAATGCTTTTAGAAAGTAAATTTCTGTTGAACTTGTATATTCCTGGGGCCTTTGAGCATGAAGAGTTTTTGATATGCATGTTTTTTTCACAAAGCCAAGCATTGGCTGTATTTATATTCAGCTGTATTGTTATTGCATACATACTGCCAAGTGTATATACACTTTCTTTCAGACTCTTTTATAACTCAAAACCAAAATTGCCACAAAGTTTCTTTTTATCTTCATATTTGCAGGACTGACATTGAGGACTTGTTTTATAGTCTTTTCAAAAAGTATGCCTTCAAACTAAAATTGAAAGATCACACACTACAGCTTATTAAAATGCATTTAGTGTTTGAAGCCCTTTCACCTGAATGTTTTTACTTATTAACAGGTATCTAGAGTAATTGTTTTTACAGTTTCACTGTCTCGTCTTTAGGTCAGTCAATTTTGAGGCAGATTTAAATATTTCAGTTTAGTTGCAATGCCTATGTGCTTACGACTTGGCCTGTCAATTTACACAAATCTTGTTGGAATTTGGTAAAACGTGTACATGCAGATGTGCTTTTCATTTGACCTGTTGCATTTTCAGTTGGCCACCCAAGGAGAGAATTCAGGAATGTAATCTGTTACATGTTCTTTGTGTATCCACTGTGCACCAATAGTCCATCTAAAAAGCACAAATATAGTGATCTGTAAGATATGTTTACATTTTATTGTATTTCTATGTTTTCAGCTTCAGTGTATTGCAATACACCTCAGGTGCTGGACACACTGGTGGCTTGGACAGTCAATAACAATAACTTTTTAGATGGACAACCTTTTCAGGATTACTAAAACACAAGAAACATGCTTTTGCCGTTCAACATGTAAAAATGAATAAATAAATTTAACTATAATGTACGTGGTCCTGATTTGAAGTGTTAATGTTTTTAGTGTACAATAATGAAGCCCAAGTGCCAAAAACAAGCTTTTATTAATCTCTATGAAATTATGTTTGAACTCAAATAAATTAGTCTAGCTATGGGGCTGTTCCACAAAAGCGGCTAACGCCAAATAACAGGTTTATTTGAAGAGTTCAGGTTGACCTGTGGATGTATCACCGGTGGAACAGCAAAATTGACGGGAAAGGTAACACGTTTTGACCACCAGAGGGTGCTGCAGTACCACAACACAGTAAATGCGTGTTAGGAATGTAGAATTATACAGTGATGAACGCGCCTCCTCTGTCGGTGAGCTCTGACACATTCACAGGTTCAATAGTACAGCAGTGCAGTTTCACTCAGTCCTGTTGGAATGTTTAAACATTGGTATAAAATGCTTCCTGCTCTTTCCTTTACTATTAAACATGAAAAATTACTATTTGGCTTTTGAGATTCTTGGCACTTAATTGGCAATTGGCAACTTTCAGTGTCACTCTTGGTTTTCAGAATTTGTTTATGTTTACTACAGAAGAGCATTGTACTTACACACAAAAAAATGTAATTACAAAATACTACCCTCTCGTAGTATCATGTAGTATGAGCAGTAGTTTACAAATATATAAAGAAAAAATTATATAGATTTTCTTTTTTGCCACATCAAATATGAGCCAACAGTAGCTGAACAAATTCTGAAAACCAGTTTTACCTTGTAAATACATTTTGAAGGTATCTTAAGTCCATATGGCACCCAGTCATTCTCATTCCAGAACTCTTCAGTGGGACCCTTGTTTGACCACATTGTGCATTATAAATCAATAGTCTCACTGCAGATGCTCAAAGCATCAATCTGTTTGCAGACACTAATGAACTCCTCCTGCACAGATCTGTCAGCCTCTGACGACCGTTCAAGACTCCCCTGTGAGGCTGCTCCCAGTGTTTGGTAGAGCCTCTGCGGATCAGAAGAGGATCCTATGTGACTGCAGAGCCCCTCTGGGTGAGAGTGTTGAGCATGTCTGTCTGGGCTGGGGGACAGGAGAAGAGGCGACCCACAAAGAGAGGCCTGGTACAGGGAACAGGAGGACGAACTCCGCCCCCACCGTTCAGGAGATGAAATACTGGACATGCACGTCAAAGATGGAGACTGTAGAGAAGTCATAATAGTTTCTTCTTGAGATTTATCTTGTGTTGACTGTTTTTTAGGGGCTATCTCCACACAGGAGGAGGTCCGGTAGAGGCCAGGATCTGCTGTGAGAGGATCGCTAAAGCCATTACAGGTCAGTGCAGACCTGTCGCTGATGGACTGGTCACTGCAGCGAATGGGCCTGGGACTGAAGATGCTCATGGGAAACAGAGCCTCACTAAACAATGCCTCATCAATACTGCGCCGCAGGTTTATGGGCGATGGTGGACGCAGGTCTGTGGTGGAGTCACTGGTGAAAGAAGAACCTCCTGAAGGTTCCCCTCCTCCTACATCCTCTAGCTTTAGTGAGCTGTGCAAGTTCAGCTCCATGTCGCGGTAAGCCAATGCTCTGTTACTGTGGTACAAGAGGTCAAGGCCGTTTAAGCTGTGTGCAAACCTGTCATCCATGAGAGTGTAAAGAGGGAGACTCTCTGTTTCTCCAAGGCCTACTGTATCTACAATAGCCAGTTTTTCTTGCTGGCTCAGAGACCATTGGTATGTCCCAGGCAGAATTGGAGACTTGGATGCTAGCAATTCAGTCCAGCAGCTCCCAGCAGCTGGTAGGTGATCTGAACAGTAGACGGGCTGTGCAACTACCAAGGCTAAGGTAAGACACATCCCAAGTTCACAAAGTCGACAGCTGAACTGAAATGTCCACCATGACCATGGGTGAAACACTTGGTCCTCCCCTGCCACACCCATGGCATTAAGCATGGCATACAACTGCAGCCCAGCACAGGCTAAAGAAAACAAAGCTGAGAGGCAGACAGTTACAGCAGCACGATCCCAATCACGACTTTCAGCAAAAGGGCAGCGGTTATATCGCTCTGCAGGTGTGGGAGACGTGTTGTTCAGGTGGTAGATATGTTTTGAATCAGCTCTAACATAAATGTAGAATACAAAATAGGCTGATGAAAGAAAAGTTGCAAGAGCTACAAACGCCCCACGAGAAACCAGTGTAAAAAAGAGGCAAAGGGTTTGTTTGTGTTGGTAAAACTTAAAGAGAGTTTCAGGACCAAATGCAGCAATGAAGTGCAGAGTAACCAGGCAGGCCAGGAAGCAGGGTCTCTGAAAGGCTGAGTAAGAGAGCTGCATTCGTGAGCGCATGGAAAGGAGAAGGAACACAAGACCAAATGCTGCTGTTAAGCAAGGAAATGGCGCTTCATACAACATCAGGGAGGCCTCCATGGAGGGTAGGCGATCCAGGTGGCCATAGGCATCATACAGGAGAGAGAAAGCCCTGGTGCATCCAGCAGCAAGCAGGAAGAGGCTAACTAGAGCGAAGTAGCCACATCCCGATGGGCATCGTAGAGGCAAACAAAGCAGGTTGAGAGCTGAGGCTAGTGTTAGCATAGCAAAAACACAACCCAATCCATACACATGTACCTCCCAGGCTATACCCCAGGCTGCCATAGCACTGTTCCAGTCTGTATATAGAGGCACTAACAGAGGAGAGGCAGGGATCGGAAACAGGCTGTTGGATTTGTTTATGGCAGTAGAGCTGTTTTGTGTAGGTACAAAATCTGCAGAGGTTGCAGTCTCCCAGGTATCTGAGATGTTGCAGATGCCGGTCCGTTCCTTGTTGCAGTCTGGAAGAAAGGTAGCATCACTTTCCACTGGGCTGAATATCCAGTCTGTGTATGCATGGGGGCTCTCTGGAAAAAAAAAAAAAAAAAAAAAAAGACAAAAAAGACATTGTTTGAGTAACCACATGTCATGTATTAATTTTTGTATTCCTGGAAATGCAGTGATTTCTCTGTTTTCTGACTAGAGTTGCCATAGCAAATAATCTACCCCCTAGTTTGCAGTACTGAGTTGCCTTTTTTGGCTTGCTGCTTGTCTTAGAATAGCAGCCATTTATCCAGCCTTGGGACTGGCACAAAGACAGTAAACTGCCATGTAAATCCTTCAGTCTTACTTCTTTTAACATTACTGAGGAAAATAAATTGCCTGCCTTTTAGACATGTGTTCCTGTTGTGTTAATCCTTGAAAGCCTGTAAAATGGAGCGGACTTCCAAGTGGTCTGGACACAGTAACAGCAGGGATTGTGTCATAGTGTGTGTGTGTGTATTAAATAAGGCTCACTACAAGCACAAAGCCTGTTTTTCTAGGATTACGTAAGCCATCTGGAGTTTCCATGCACATCCAATTTAATTATGATTGTCTTGGACATGTTTTAGAGCTGGAGAGGAAATTTCTGTTTCAAAGTGGTTTAGCTTTGGAAACCAGGGAGTGACCATGTACTTCATACTGTATGCTTGTGTGCGCAAATGAAAGGCTTGGAAAAGTCTTTTGTGCCACAGTTTCACACCATTAAAACCAGTTCTTTTCCATAGGACACAAGTTTAACTGCAATACCGCTATCTTTCCACCACATGAAGAGGGTCTAGCTGGGTGACTAATACTTTTAACAGCCCACCACTCTCAGTGATTTACATTTGAACAAAGGAATGGCTTTACTGAAAACTGTTAATGTCATCTTTGTCATTTGTAGGCACTCGCAATTTTATATTACATAACAGATAGAGAACAGAGAATTTAATAAGTGAACTGGAGCTTCGTTATGCTCAACAATTCAATCAATTCAATCACTGTCATAAAACATGCACATAGCAATTCCATAAAAACAGGTATCTTTAGGATAGGAAACAATGCAACACAGAATGCTTGCCATGTATGTGTACTGTCTACAAACTCTAATTTATTTCCTTCATAAAAACTTAAAAGAGTAATTCATGTGGCTGAGGATTTCTTTTAAGTTCTTTGTAATGTATTTTTATTGGTTGAGCGCTTTCCTATCCCACCCTGTCCCGGTCGCTGTTTGCCCTTTTGTTTTATACATCCCTTAACACATGATTAAGGGATCAAGGGAAACTCCTATAGGTGGGTTTGTTATTTTAGAAGTCAGAGAGTCATTGGAGTAGACACTACTCTTTGACTTTTAGACATTTAAGTGTTTTCCCATGGTGTACAAATCTTATAATGTTTTACTGCATGGGTCAGTCTGCAGCAATGCATAAAAGCAAGCACTGTATTCATGGCTATCCAAATTTAGAGATATGATCTGAACATGTTGTAATGAGCACATTTTCTCTTTGATTTTTTTGCAAGCAAATTTGCAGGTGTCCAATCAGCCTTTTGATTACAGCACAAGTGCAGTTTTAAAGCTATTTTTGCAGATTCTTTGCACTTATATTGATTTAAAAAACAATTAGCATTTTTATTGTTTGTTGTTTTGACCCCTGGGCTGTCGGCCTCAAACTGCCAGGCTGCTATGAAAATGTCAAGCTAAAGGAAAAACGACACCAAAGCAACTGCTGCAGATGCATTTTAAGTACAACTCAGCTGTTTTTATTGTATGTCAGCTTTAACTGTTAATAACATACTAAACTTTGAGGGCAGAGATCTTAAGTCATTATAGTTAATTACAACCACAACATCACTGACATATAAGTTGAGCAATTTTATGTTTTGGATATTCAGCCTTGCTATTTTTTATATTGATTTTACTTTCTCTTATTTGTAACTACCCATTTGTGCTCTACGGCACTTTTAGCACTGTTGCTATAATTGTGGTAAATGAAGTAGACCTTCTCCTTGGTTTTGATACCAATTTATAGTTTTGTCCTAATTTTAAGTTGACTCCTCCATTCACAATAGGAAATGTGAGTAAAAGGTAAAAGCAAAATGCAGTAGCAGGAGTCCTCAATATAAGGCCCACTGATAAAGAAGATAAGGTTCGGTAAGTGTAGTCTATTTGCTTTACAGTGTGTGCACTTAAATCATTTGAAGACAC